CGAGTCAATAAGCCAGGCAGGTGCCATTTTAACGAAAGTCCCTCCTTCCACGCTTCCGACCCTTTCACCGTCAATGAAACGAATTCGATCGTGGCGCAGGCCAACGTCCCGCAGTCTCGAACACACCCAACGCATAAATCCACCCGGAACGAGGTTAAGTCCGTGCCGGCCACGATAGCGGTATTCATTTTAAATTCAAGAGGGAAGGAAAAAAAGGGGGAAGAAAAAAGATGGAATCCCTCGTTTCTCGCCTGTACTGCTCTCTGCAGTGCGTCTTGCGGCACCGCTGCAGGAATTGTGCGTATCTTTGTAATCTCTGAAGAAAAAGACTTTCTTTTGTGATTGAATGCATTGATTCTGTGGACCAATTTCTATTAATAGGTTTAATAGTTTTGGGCGTGTGCTGTCTTTGGATATTCAAGGTATTAGGGGATTTGTTTAGGAAATTGAGGATATGGAGGTTATAGGAATTCGAGGATGCGGGGATTTGACGGTGGAGGGTTTCTAATATTTGGATAATAAGATATTTGGGGTGCAGAGATTTGAGGATGTGGGGTTTGGGACTATAGGGATTTGGGAGTGTAGGAACTTGGGAACGTGGGAATTTAGGAATTTAGGTATTTGAAGATGTTGAGATTTGGGGATGTAGAAATTTGAGGATGTGGGGATTTGGGGCTATTGGGATTTGGGAGTGTAGGAATTTGGGAATCTGGAAATTCGGGAATTTAGATATTTGGAGATGTTAAGACTTGGGGATGTAGAAATTTGAGGATGTGTGGATTTGGGGACGTAGGGATTTGGGAATGTGAAGATTTGGAAATGTACAAATCTGGGGGGTGTGAGGGTCTAGAGATGTAGCGACTTGAGATCTAAAGATCTCACTATCTCAGAATCTGTTAACATAAATATCTAACAAGCTTAGAATCTTGAAATATATCTAACTATGTAGGATTCAAGCTATAGAAGTCATCGAAATCTATACATACAGCTATCAAAAAATTTAAGGCTTTAGAGATATAGACTCTATCTATTTCTGTCCCTCCCGTTTTATATCACTTTTACGATATCAGAAATGACCCGACGCCGTCAAAGCTAAAATCATTGATGGAAAGAGAGGATTATCTTGAACTCTGAACGAGATTCGTCCAGAATATTGGATTCCAGGTTGTAACTTTGGGATTAGATTCTTGTTCAAAGAGGAATTAGTCTGCTTTTAACGTCGGGGAGTGGTTCAGTTAGTGGTTCCAGGTCGTTTACTGGGGATTTGGGGTGGCGCGGACTTGGAACCGACTTTTTTTAGGATCTCCCGAGGATTATTACTATATTTCTTGTCCGGAGGTGAACTGCTTCCTATTGAATATTTAACTCTGACCATCCTGTTAGATTTAATTGAAAGATTAATATTTTGATCTTTATCCAATATAACAAGATTTTGAACGTGGAAACTGGGTTAAATGTCATTTTATTTCAGTTACCGAAACCTGGCAGCCACTTTTCTTTGGACATGTAATTGGGACATTGGTATTTTTACGTTTGTCCAATTTACGACGATGAATTTTTGGTTGTTCAACTGGGTCAAGAATTTTATTCCTATTATCGAACATTTAGCTGTAACTTAGGAGATTAATTGGATTGTTGACACATATCCTATTAAATAAATAACCTATGTAGTTACAGATAGGTTAGGTTTTTTCTCAACCTTGAATGCGATCGCAGATTAGTTACCGATGGCAACCTATGAGTTGGCGCATGACCCAGCTGTTTAGAGCAACTATTGCAATAGAAAAATGAACGCCATTTTCGGTATATTGCCTCGCACACCAATTAGACCAAAAATGACAGTCGGCAAACGTCTCGAGATAGCGCGAATCGCGTTCAGCAGTTATGGTCATTATTCTTATTTGCCGAAATGTAACTGGAAGTGTTCACGGTGGATAGGTGGAGCGAGTGGCTTCTTTTACTCTGGCTCGACCTACGCGCCAACTCCTGGCTTGTCTACAGTAGAGACTGTGATGATCCGAGGGAACGTAGGGATTCTGGGAAGCTAGGAAATATGGCGATTCCGAGGACTGTGAGAATCTGGGGAATTCAGGAACTGTAGAGAATGTGGGGATGTGGGACCTGGGGATCCGAGGGACTGTGGACTGTGGAGATACTAGCGAACTTGGCACTGGAGACTGAAACTGTGGATATATAGGGAATCTAGGGGTCTGGAACTGTGGAGACTCTGGGGACTATGG